TCCCCTGTATGTGGATTTTGCACTTTGCGTAAAAATATCCAAAATGCAAATCTTTAAAAAAGTATTCTGTAGGAGAGGTCATCTAACCTGTCAGATCTTAGTAGTATCAGAGACTTTGTTTTTGTAGTGCATGCATTCACAGTTTTTCCCTGTACTCATTCTCTTCAATGGTTTTTCTCTTGATTTTCTGCACACATAAACTTGCTACAAAATGTACGTCAAGATCGGGGAGAGATCGGCAATATAACAGATGTGATTACCGGTCCTCACGAAAGCAGTCTCTCGAAAGTTACTGAAGGCTTTAGCACAGAATTCGCCTGAACATCCGCAAGAAACAGCTTAGGTTAGACGTCAGAAAGAACTGAGGAATTACTAGATGTAGCATCGATGGCTGTGACGGAGAAACAACTAATGAAAGCAACAAAGTTCTGCTTCGAATGAAATTATAAAAAGATGAGAAGAGAGGTCAGTCCGATCTTTCTTCTTGCTTTTCCTTCTGTCTCTTTCGTTTTTTCCCCTTTTACAGTCTCTGATTTTTAAAAACAGTTTTTACACTGTCGCAGCCTATGTGAAATCAGCTCCAGTTGGGTGCTTAGTTCAGTTACAACTTAGATTTCAGCTTTTAGCAAAACCGAATGTACAGAAGACCTGTTGGCTCACTGGTTAGGATCAAACGATAATTCTAATGGAGAAGATCAGCTTATAGCAGAAGTAGAAATAAGTGCATCCGAGGAAAGTGCTGGATTGTAAAGGGAGCAGTAAAACTAGACTTAGGAGCAGGTACAAAATAACAAATAGCAGGTGAAAAAACTGAAACGATGCCATTTTTGAAGAAACAACGGGCTGCGAGCAAACAGTGAATGTAGCAGATAATCAGCAAGGAAGACAGGTGTGTCTGTTCAGCCCTGTACGCTCCCGATTCGACACTTTTTTATTAATTCATGCATACATACAAGACTGTGTCTCTGCTTGCTTGTTCTCATGCTCGTCATGCATTTTCAACTTCATGACCAAATCAACCAGGAAGCTCTGACTGCTTTGCGACCTTGCAGTGGCTTGGAACTCGAATAAATTCACTGACTTTGGACGTTAACTTCAACCAGACGGAATCCGAAGCCTGCATAAGCATGACTCTGGCTTGCATCCGCAGCATCTATGTTGATTTTCCCACTGGAGGATTTTTTCTATTTTTTGCTTTTGCTATAATTCACTGGCTTGAAATATGAATACATCCAGGAGTTTTTTCAAATCGAATTTTGCTTACCCTTTAGAGTAGAGTTCACTCTCGTCATGAACCGCTCTGCCATCGACCGTGGTAAGCATCGTTGTTTCACTTCCTCGTTCTATCTCGATCACTTGTCGTTGGTCAATGATTTTCATCCTCTGGAACTCAATGACTCTGCTATTTATAGTATTATTTTCAAAGTCAGAAGTCAAAATATGACTCTTAGTGAAAGGCGGAAGCATTCAGGAATTAGCCCGAGAGGTAGCATATGTCAACAGCAATCATCCACTAGCAAGAATGTCGATGGTTCCATTTTCTGGGGGTTGCTAACAAACAAGCTGATAGTATCACTGTTTTGCTAGCTAGAAACTTACGCTTCACATTTTATCAACTAAAAATTGCACTTTTCCCTCGCTATGAAACAGATTATGTCTTTGAATATTAGAGGGTGATATGACTTTTTTGTCATAAGACCAATATTGCGAATTTTTCTTGTGTGTCAACGACTAAACCAGTCTGAAATAAATTGTAAGCTATCTTTTTCATGGCCATCGTCCATTGGGCTTTCAAATTCCTGTCCGGGGCATACCTGTATCCCTTTACTATTTCCGTAGAAAGGACAGAAAACCTATGCCATTTTTTTGATTAACTGTAATAGAAATACGTTTATCATTATTGAAATTGCGAATGGATTTTGAGCGGGGCCATGAATGAAGCAGTGAGTTGCTACAGTGGTTCTATGGTTTTAATAATTTTTGAAGATGAAATATGTCAAAAATTAATTGAAAATAACATACGGAGTATTTTTTATATGAAAGTTAAATGAAGTATTTATCGAATCAAACAGTGTATAAAGTATTTATGGGTGAAAAATTAATCAGCTAGAAAGGAATTCAAAAGGTGCTGGTATACCATTTCTTGGGAGTCTTTGTGCTTCCGCTTTGCCATCACTGTGAAGCTTGGATTTCCACTCCTGCAGTCTTTTGCCAGTACACTGTAACAGGTTGTTAAGGGTATTTTCACGCGGCTCCCGTCGAATGTCTGCACGTGAGTTGCGGTGACCCAGCATTCGGCGCCTTGGTCGTACATCGCTTTCTGCAGCATATGCCCGATCGAATGTACTGTCGTTTTTTCCTTGATCATATTCAGCATCCAGCCGGATGCTTTGAAAGGTAGGCTGATTTCGTGGATTGTGACGATTTCATCGCTTGTTTCCAACACCATATTTATGTATCGCTGTGTTCCGGCATCCACTGTTATCGTGGCCATGCACTGATTTTGATCGCCCCCTCTTGCAACTGCTGCTGCTGGTGGTACTGCTTGCATGTCACTCTTCCAGTACATCCAGGCTTTCAGAAGTGAGTAAACAGAACTGGCATAGCTTTCAAGCTCCGCACTAAGCCAGTACTGCGCAGCAATTTTGTATTTGTTCAGCTGTGTGGCACGACGGGTGTCCTGGTAACGCGCTACTGAGCTTTCTCCCTTTTCAAGGCATTGCTTGAGCAGGTCTCGTTGCGCCCGATCTTGTTCTGCCTGCACAGTTATGTTCAGATACTGTTGCATCTCGGAGGCGAATCCCCATGTACAGTCCCAGTGAGCGTTATATTCTCGATGTTTCTGCCCTGTTAGTTCCTGAAGTGATCGAACGCTTCTCGGATAAATACTCTGGAATAGCGACTCAAATGTCCAGTCCCCACTTTCACCATCCAGCAATGCGCTGCGTCGACCATTCATATCTAGTCTGCAGAAGAGAAAACTTTCATCGCATTCTGCATCTAAATGAAATTGCCCTGTTCGATTTGTTGTTGATCCAGGCGCCGTTATTTTGAGATCGAGTGAGCTGTGATAACCTCGTTCACCCTCATACCTGGAATGAGTAACTATACAGAGTATGCAAAAGGCATTTGGATTTTTTTCAAATAAAGTCCTGAAGAAGTTTTTTTAGACAGTTTGCAACTTAACGGACTGAAACATTTTTTTCCCGTTCCTCAAGAAATTGTCCTTATGAAAAAATTTGTTCTGGAAACAAATCAAACGAACAAACGTTGTAATGTAGCGGACAAATTCCTCGCGCCTTTCGCTTTCACTGGTAACTCTTTGCTGCATCTTTTCTCGATCCTTGGTGATAATTTTTGTTCTGCCGTCACCGAGCAAGTGGACAGTGTCTTCGTCCTGTTCCTCATCCAACTCGAATAACTCCTTCACTTTCGTTATACGTATGAATCGTTCTACGTTCAGCCGCTTAATTTGTTTCTTCCGTCCAAAATCGAACTCAGCCGTGAAAACAACTACCTTGGGTGTGCCCTGCCTCGGGATCATCTCGATCGTCAGTACGTTCTGGTCTGTTATGCCATTCAGTGCTGACATCCACCACGTTGTGTCACCGGTTTGTCGATGATAATGACCACGGAGATTGTACTTGAGGCCCAGCACGTGCTCCCCAAATGTTCGATCAATTCTCTGATATTGCCGTTGTGCCAAGCCACACTGTATAATCTCCTCCTTGTGTTCGTAGCAGCCATCATCTTGTGGCCAATTCGAAGTGACCGCAAGCGTCTGTGTGTGGTACTTGAAAATGGATTGCCTTTTTTCGGGCATATTTGCGATGAATTTCATTCCAAATTTCGGCACTGCGGTGAATTCCATATGCATGTCAAGCGGGGCGTTCAAATTCATTGTTTGAACCATTCGCATTCCGGAATATACCAGTGGACTGCATGTATACATGAAAACACTATGACTAATGCGAGCTTTCGATATGCCCCGAATCACTGTTGCATGGCCAGCTCCTGGTTCTTCTGTCTGTGGATTTAGTTCCACGTTCGCGCTTGAACTTCCCACTGTCATGATTTTACGGTCGATGATTAGTGGAATACCAAAACATGTAGGGATGCGACGTGTCGCTTCATACATTCTGCCAGAAGAGTGATCACTCAGGTCATAACTGTTACCGAAAAGCTGCGTCAGTATACTCAAATACAGCTTTCCATCCTGAAGGGCACGTGTTATCACCGAAAGTGTTTGGTGGTCCAACTGAACAAACCCGATGTCAACGTCATTCGAACGCATGTACAGAAGACCGTGAACGCCTTCCGCGTCACTCTGACGGCTTTTCACGTTCATTCTCTTGTAAATGGAACGAAGTAAGTCGGTTGCACCGAGAGGCTCGGGCCCGTGTTCCTGATACACTGGGCTATCCCCGGGCGTGGGAGCGCGGTGATCGAACAGCTGATGAATTAAGTTTTCGGCCCCGAACTGAAGCAGCCCAATTTGAAGTGCGTTCCGTTTCATTTGACCGGCCAGAATTGTGTCCACATTGAGTAGCACGTGCCGTGGCAGAATTGTTTCTTTGGTGAACATGGCGGCCACTGCGAGGTTCAATCCGGCCTGATGATGCTCCGAATAGAACGGTAAATGGTAGTAGAAGCTATCTGTCCAGTTGGTGTTCTGCTCATGCGCATAGTAAAGTGATTGCTGCAGATCCTTTGCACTGAAATTTAACTTTTTTAGTAAAAAAATGGCCTAATTTCTTCACCATTAATGTGAAGAGATTCCTGGGATGGAATAAACTGTCTCTCATCTCCTAGCAATTCTCGGCACCGAGATGAGCCCCCTGCATAGTTATTCGTGTTGCGATCATATCATCCTAAAAACGTTTTGCTCTGAAAGTATTGACTAGTTCCTGGCCCAGTTCTCCCCTCGCCATACACATCACGGAGGTAGTTATATTGGAACTTTTTTT